ATCACTGGTGGTAGCAGCAGTGATCTGTGTTATACCTCAGTTACTAAACTGTTCTTATCTCAACCCGTGGGAGTTGCATTCTTTTCGATTCTCCTCTCCATCCCTCTGAGAGCAGGGGGAGGGCAAGAAAGGGGGGGGGAGTGAGTGAACAAGTTACCTGACTGGGTTTAAACCACGACAACAAGTTGGTTTTTTTTTTGTATTAACAATATGACAGCATTAGAACTCCCATAGTGCCTCCTCACTTGTAACTCAATTAAGACATTCAAGATTTCTTACCCTTTGTTTTCCCCAACAGCAAGCAACAGGGCCAAAGAAGGGCAAAGACATTTATCCAAAACTCAAGTGCTATCACTTAGTTTAATGCTCCCACTTCACCACCTGGCTAGAGTGTAATTCTGTATGCTATTTGGTAGCCTAACCAAAGAGATTTTTGTCAAAGAAGTTAAAATATCAACTTACTTCACCTTCAGGAAAAGATTTCTATGCTTCTTACTCACAGCTCTTACCACTAGACTACCTCCTCTCCTAACCATGTCTCACGCCTGGATCAAGATGCTTTAATAAAATAAATGCAAATTCTAGTAAGAGTAAGTTCTCACTGGAGTTGCATTTCAGTACCTCAAACTTCACAAATTAAGTGAAACCATTTTATCTCTGCTCATCCCTGGACATCGCAGTCATCCAATTACTTCACTTTTTTTTCAGTGTTTTGAGAATCAGAACACAAACCCCAGCTCTCCAGTTTTAAAGACATCACTAGAAAAGCTGTCCAGGCACACTTGGACTGTATCACCCTATGTTTGAGCAGACACAGTCACCACATGACATCAAAGCTTCCAACACTATCACAAATGCAGTAAGCCAGCAACTCATTTCCAGTTCCAGTAAATAAGTGGACAGAGAAACAATGCTTCCACTGAAGTTACAAAATTCTTATAAGTATCCAGAATAGACATAAGATTATGGTTAATAGCACTAAGAATAGTAAAAATCCAGATGTACATTATTAAGCATAATGCTAAAGAGCTTCCCCCTTCCAGGCTCCATGGACTTATTGGAATACATGCACAAATTCCCAATTATATACAGTTCGATTTTACTCAAAGTCAGTCAAACAAGGCTCTGCCAAAGCAAGGGCAGATATTAAGGGAACTGGTTTTAACTCACTTGTGAGAAAGTTAAGTAGAGACCAGAGTGGAAAAGCTTTCTAAGCAAGCAAATGAAAGCTAGCTAAAAATACTACAAGAGTAAAGAGTTAATGTTATATCACTGCTAACACAGACAAATGCTCACTAGATATAGCTCCTGCACCTGGATCCACTAGTCCAGAGTGGAACATTCAATTGAAGGAAGAAGGTAAGAAGGTCTGGCAGTAAAAACAAAAAGGTGCTGCAGTTACCAGGTAACATTAAAGTCACACTTCGATTTCTTGTATTCTCACATTTAAGGCTCAAGGCAAGCAAAGCCACAGAAAGACAAGAAGAAATCAACAGATACGTAACTATTTAATTGCCCTGACAGAAAATGGTTCCATAGGCAATAGTATTTAAAACAAACTCTGGGAAGGGTTTATCAAGAAACTAGTCATTTGCCAATTCTTAAGCTAACCACTTATATAAATAGGCTGGTTTAGAGAGTACTGGAATTGTAATTAAACAACAATGTGGAAACACTGTTCCAGAAAGATTTAGCAGTAGCCATTGACATGTTATTTCTCATTAGAAATGAATTTTAATTATTCATATACGGGGCGGGGGGGAGGGGTAGGGAGGTGTGAGGAAACAAAAAAGCAACAAAATAACAGAAAAAAAAAAACCACAAGCTTCTAGGGTTTTTGTTTGGTTGCTTTCCTCCATTTGCTGGAAGATTTCCATGGCTTGGAGTTGTGAAGCCTCATCCCACAGATAGCAGAAGCAGTAAGTTAGCACTGCAGTTGGGAATTGTTAGGATTAATAACCTTGTTTAGTACTAGAAACTAAAGTAGTTAAAGCCATAGGCTGCAAAAGCTGACCAAGAATAAGATTTTTTCATTAAACTAATGCTGCAAATACAAAACCAGCAGATACAAGCAAGAAAGAAAAGAACCAAGGAAAAAACTCCCCAGGAATGAGGTTATTTCAGAAGGCAGCCAGCCCAATGACCAAGAAAGCCAGTAAGAAATCAAGAACCCTCTGACCAGAATGGAGAGGAGAACAGGTGGTACATTCCAGGAAACCTGCCTGTAGAGGTATAATTGGGGTACACGATCTGCTGCAGTGATTCTCCTTTGGAGACACCCAGCTCAAGCTGCTCTGCACATCCAATAAACAAACTGCTCCTTTACTCAGCAGGTTGACAAACTCATCTTTGAGCAGGAACCTCCGGCCAAGCCCTGTTGAGGTGCCACCCACATAATTCATACTACAGACTAGATGGCAGTTACATAATGCCTGCAACAACTACTACACATAACAACCTTCTTTCACAGAGAATACTTTAAGTCATCAACTCAAACTTACTTTGTTGTTGTTATTCTGTTCATCTGCAAGTCCTTTCGTTAGCAGGAACCCCTGGAGTAGAAGAAAATAGTATCTTAGCTTACCTTATTAATTTTTTTAATAACTATCTTAAAAAATGAAGTGTGTGGAAGCATTCTATCATTCCATTTTTCTTCAGCTAGAGGAAAAGGATAAGGGAAAGCTGAAGCTATATCACACAGTATGCTGTTATGTAAAAACAGTAGTAATAATGATAGCACTAGCCTATTTCTTTATGTATAAAAAAAGCAGCATTAAGACCAAACATAGTCTAAATCAAGTTCATTTTCAATTACTTAAGCTTGTTACCTGTCTCTATAAACATAGATGACGAACAGAGCACTAGAACCTGCAAGAAGAGGTTTTAAACAGAACAAGCAATTCTATTTTCATTCTATCTCTGAATCATTTCTTTCTAAGCATCTAATCAAATAAATTCTTAACAGGAAGAATTACCTTTTCTTTATTGTTAGAACACAATGACATGAATTACACTCCCATTGAAGAAAAAGAGTATTTCCAAATATAAATAATGGTACCACCAATGATGTAAGCATCAAATCGCTCCATAACTTTCCAAGCTTGGTATAGAAATTAATAAAAATATAACTTCTTAGAAAAACAAAAAGAAATCCTTAAGTTAATACCTCAGAACTAAAGTGATACGAGTGGTGTGCTCTAGGAAACTGCCCCTTTTATCCTGATGAGATGCAGCAATCCCACCTGCTGAAGTTCAGAGGGATCACCTGCTGTCACTCTAGCAGAGAAGGTGGGATGAGCCAGCACAGCTGAGAGCATTGACCCTCAGGGATTTCTTTTGGCTTCACTGGCTTATCAGAGGCTACCGCTGCTTATGCCAGAGCAGTGCATTGATAAAGCAAACTACAGTCTAGTCATTATTTAAGCTTTTCTGCATATAGAGGGAAACAGAGAAATGAACAAGAGAAATCAGAATTCTGTGAAAGCTTTGGAAATATACTAACAGCACATTGTTTCTCAAAGACCACCAGGGGATTTGTAAACTGATTTATAGCACTGAAAATTGTTATTAACCCTGTTTTTAAAATGTGCTGCAAGGCTATTGTCTAGTTTAAACTTGAAAAGTTTACCAACATAGCTGGGAGCTCACAGGGGGTAATGCTTTATTTTTGTAATGGGCTGTTCTAAAGACTCAAGTATTAGATTAGGAGTGGTCTTCTATTAGAGCAATTAATGCAATTTAAAAAAAAAAAAAAGAGAATGACAACACCCCTTTGAGTCTGCAACAGAACATTAGAGTACTTCCTGGTTTCTGTAAGTGTTGAGTTGGCTGAGTTGGAGTAATTTCCTTTCCTTACAGTCTCGTGTCTCACATTCCCCTGGGGAATAAACAAAACCACCTGCATGTCTGCAGCCTCCTGTCCCACCACAGCTGCCAGAGGAAGCCCATGCAAGGAGGAAGGAGCAGCGATGACTGCCAGCACAAGAAGAGGTGTCTGCAGGGGTTTTCTGTGAATCTCTGCTGGGGAGGTAGGCACCCAGCAGCCTGACAACCCTGCCCAGCAGGTTCTGCTCATGACATCACTAACCTGGCCTTGCTGAGCGATCACAGGACCACAGAATCATTAGGGTTGGAAGGCACTTTGGAGATCATCCAGTCCAACCCCCTGACAAGGCAGGGCCACCCAGAGCAGGTTACACAGGAACATGTCGAATGTCTTGAGAGAGGGACACTCTACAACCCCCCTGGGTAGCCTGTGCCAGTGCTCTGCCACCCTCAAGGTCAAGAAGTTCTTCCTCATATTGAGGTGAAAGTTCTTGTGCTTCAGTTTATGGCCACAGCTCCTCGTCCTGTTGCTGGGCACCACTTCAAAGTCTGACATCATCCTCCTGGCACCCACTTTTGAGATACTGATCTGCATTAATAAGATCTCCTCCCAGTCTGCTCTCCTCTAGCCTAACCAGGCCCAGCTCCTGAGATCTCTCCTCATGGGAGAGATGCTCCGGACCCCTCACCACCCTTGTGGCCTCCAATGGACCCTCTCCAGCAGCTCCTTGTCTGTCTTGTACCAAGGAGCCCAGCACTGGACACAGTTCTCCAGACGTGGCCTCACCAGGGAGGCGGGGGGGAGTTCACGCTGTCATGACGCCAGTGATGGCTACACGAGGCCCAGGTGCCGCCACGCCGCAGCTCAGCGTTACGTCAGCAGGCCACCCCCTCAACGCGACGGGATATGACATCACCGTCTAACGCTCTGACGTCAGCAGCCCGTCCCTCTAAGCCGCTAACAGAACAAACTTCCCCGCTCGCGCCTATCCGCGACCCTCCCGGACGGCCAATCAGCGAGCCGCTTACAGCGCAGGTGGCCGCTGCCAATCGCTGCGCGCCGATGTTCGGTTTTGTTCCCCCGGGAGTCGTTGAAGTCCCTGCCGCGCTCCCATTGGTCTGAGGGAAGCTCTGCCCGGCAGTGATTGGCGCGCGACGTGGAGCGCGTTGGCGCTGTCCGCGGCGGTTCCGGTGCCCGGTGCATCCGTGCCATGGCTGCCCAGCCCCAGCTTGGGCCGCGGAAGCGGAGCGGCCCGGTGCTGTGCGGGGAGGGCTGGGCCGGAGCCGCCCCTCCGGCCATGGCGGGCTTTGGCGGGGCCCTGGAGAACGGCTTCCCGCCGTACAAGCGCCCCAAGAGCGCGGGGCCGGCGGGGCGCCACGAGGGGCCGGGAGATCTCTTCGGAGACAGTGACGACTTTACGGCGGACGACCTGGAGGAGATCGACATCTTGGCTTCTCAGGCGCTGTCCCAGGAGGCCGCCACCGGACCCCCGAAACACGCGTGGGGCGGCTTCGGACCGAACGGCGCCGAGCGGCGGGTGGCGGCGGGGCTGCCCCGGAACGGAGCTCCCGCAGCGGGGAGGAAGCTGCCAGGTCGGTGTGTCCGTGCGGCCTGGCGGTGTGGCTAGAGCACGGGTGTGATCTCCTTAAGGGTTGATAGACAAGCGCTAAAGCAGAGTTACGTGGTGACGAGACGCGTGCGGTTTACCTATCTGTAGTGACAGTATAATTCTTATGATACTCAGAGGTGTGTAACAGCAAATAATAACATGTTCAGTCATTGCTGATATACATACATCATCCGTGCTTCAGAACCGATCTTGGCTTTTTTCTGCAGCAGGAAGCAGTACAGAAGATAGCCTGGTGAGAGATGCCTTCCAGTTCGAAGTCCTGCAAACGCAGCATGAAGAAATTAAACAGAAGGTCAGCAGTTCTTCCCCCCTTTCCAAATATGACATATTTTTTATAAGGTTAACTGAAAGGTGGGATAAGTTCGGTTCCGAGTATTTAATTCTTATTGTTGACTAGTAATGTTTGAAATCCATGGATCTATTAAAAGCATAGTACTAGAAACAGCTCTAGTAGTATTCAATATGAGAGCAACATTTTATTTCTTGGTCATTTTGGGTTATCAAATACTCATTTTTACCTGTTTCCCCTTAAATGGGTTCTCCTTTGTCCTGTCACCTAGCCAGCACCTTGTTCTGTGAAACTTAAAGATGTCAGAAAATGACTTATAAATTGTGTTCTGTTACTTATATGATGATCCCTTATGGAATGGGGAAGAAATAGATGCAGAAAAGTAAGAAGGTGCAAATGCCCACGCTAAGTCCATCCTTTTTTTGGCAGACAGCTTAAGAAGAATATAAGACCTGAGCAAGTTTATGATTTTATTTTTACTGGAAAAGTCTTTTACCCTCTGGTAAAATTTCATGTAGGTAGTTCCTGATCCAGAAATATTACATGTGTATTTAGTTTATAGTGTATTCTTTCATCACCCTTACCTCTGGTGTCTGAATCTTTCCCAGCTCTTTTATATCCTTTACTGTGGAAGCTCCTACCTGTATGCCACGTTCAACATGGGGGTGAACCATAACTTTATACAGTGGGGTAGAGGTGTATTTCTGCCCTTTCTCCACGCTTTCCTGAGTAACAATTGTATTCTCCCTCCAAAGTCTTGTCTCTGAGTGAGATGGTTGTTCAGAAAGTATTAGAGACTATGTATGTGGTGAAGATACAGTCTGGGGGTGGTAGCTTGTCTGAGGACAGCATGCTTGTTGGCTGCCATGCTAGTGAAGTATTATCATTGTTATCATCCAAACAATGAATAAATTATTGATGTGAGTAGAATACTTACCAAAAAAAAGAACATAATCACAGAGAAGGGGAAGGAGAAGGATGCTCTCTGACAGGTGCTACAATGGCATATGAAAATGTGCCTTTGCTGTCATTTTATAATTGTGTTAGAAAAAACGGTAGCTGAGCATGATTTAACCAGGAAAAGATTAGAAGCAACATTGCAGAATTTGTGCACTGGGCTACAGGAAAATTTTTCTCTTTAGAAAGTATAAATATACCTGATTTTTGACCCATATAATGATATAAATACCTGCTTCTGGTTATATGCATCTTCTGATGAAATGCATCTGTTTGCAGCTGAAAGAAATGCAGGATGAAATTCTTACTAAAAATGGAGAAATTAAAATTTTGCGTGACTCGATGCAGCAGATGGAGTATGCTATGGAGGAACAGAAAAGATCATACATGCTATTGGAACAGCAAAAATCTCAGATCTTAAGTGAAAAAGAAAAAGAGTTCTCCAAAAAGGTTTGTAACTGTGTCAATTACCTGCATGTCACATGCAGAAGCTAATTTTATGACTTAGTATGACAGATCATCTAGCAAAGGAAGAACAGTTGTGTGGAATTTCCAAATTATATATGCTTCCTTCATCTAGAAGAAAGCATTTGTAAGAATCTGCTGCAGGTTTTCTTCTGTCAAAATGAAAGTAAAATTCAAGTGGTAGAGGTTTTCATTTACTTTTATTTGTTGTTTTTTTTTTAAGCAATCCCAAGAACATTAAAATTGGAATGTATTTTAAAGTGAAAAAAAGCAACAGAACATGCTTTATAACTGATCAGAGTGCTATTCCTGTTGCAGTCATTTTTCTGAAAGCCCTGAAGAGGACAGTGGCTGCCTTTGTCCTGTTTACTCTGCTGTTAATGGCCTCACTGTAGTAGTGCTCTGCGTGGCACTTGTTCTGTCTTCACAAGTCATATGCTTCTTGCCTGAACTTCTGGTGTTTGGTTCTAAGGTAGTATTAGTTGCACTGGCATACATAAAAATGGAGATCTGTGCAGGGTTCACAGTAAGTAGATGGTAATCTTGAAATCTTACGGTAATTCTAGTTGCTTGGCAGTTATGACACCTCTGAATTACTCAGTAAAACTGTCTTTTTAATTCCTCTTTCAGTTGCTGTCATTACAGTCAGAGCTGCAGTTCAAAGATGCAGAAATGAGTGAATTAAGAACACAACTTCAGAAGTGTGAAAGAAATAAGCATGTTATTCAGACAGTTTTAACACCAAGGTAGGAGCTTTGGAAAATGAGTTTGTGTTCCTTTTTTACAATATGTGTGCTTAAACTATTGAAGAGGTTTTCTTTCTTCATGTAACTTTTAGCTCCATTGTCTTTAAAAAACACAACTTAAAAAGTCTGTTGACCTCTGTGGATTTTGCTCACAAAGAGCTTTCATTGCATTTGTGACAAACCTGCGGAGAGTTAATAGTGAAGTACCTTTCAAACATCGATGCAAACAGATCCTTGTTTATTGCTTAGTAAACTAAATAGAAAAGAAATACTGATTGATTCTAGTGTTTGATTTCTATTTTAGCCCTAAAAAGAACTTTGCAATACAAGCAATACCAGAAGGATGTTCTGTGCAGCCTGGAAAAAGATCTTTTCCTACAAAGGCATCCTTCAGTGCTGAAATGTCCCCTAGACCATCGTGTTCTTCAGGAAATCTGATTGCCCCAAGTACTTTGATCAAGGAAGGTAAACATGTATGCAACTTGCAACATTTTTAGCTGCATCTGAACATTGTGCCTTAGATAAGGAGTTTTATACTATGTGACTGAACAGTTTCAGTAAGTTTGATGTAGAGAAAAACAAACACGTATTTGTTACATTTTGGTTTTGCTTAAATTTCTTTCCTTTTTATACCAGTTGGCATGAAATAGCTGACTGAAATTTGCATTAAGATCGTTTTGATTCACACCCTGTAATGCCTGTGTACCAGATGCAAAGATGGCAACAAGGAAGTGGCTACTGGCCATCGTAAAAACTTCCATTTATTATACAATGAACTGAAATACTCAGATTGTTAATCTGCTTTTCTCTTTGGTTAGTGAAGATCAGGAAATGATTTGCCTATTTCTTGAATTTGTCTGTTAGTCAGCTAATACATTTTTTGTGTTCTTGCGGTTTTCGCTTTAAAGCTGGCCTTTAGGGGGAGTTTATTTTAAAGGGTACATACTTAGCCATATTGAAAGAAGCAACTGAAACAGTACACTCATTTCCTCTTTTATGTAATTCTCACAAAGGTGTATCTTGAAATTAATTGAGTAAAGCTTAAGAAATTAATATATTCATGTATTTGAAGATTGCTATTATATGAAGCAAAATTGTGGGGCCATGTTTCTGATGTGAAATAATAAATGGGAAAACATTTGGGTATCATCAACTAATCCTTAGAGGAGGAGTCATGAAAAATCTGAGATGTTACTGTCAGTTACAGTATTCAGTCTTAAATTGGATCAGCACTATGAACTCTATCAAAAAGAAAAATACAATAGCCTTAAAGCATTAGTATTGCTACTTATTCAGCCTCCTGACTATTCATTATGGTAACAACACTCAGTGTGCCTCTGTTAATCTCTACTCGTGGGAATTCAACTTAAGGTATTGGGGATTTTTCTAAAACAAAAGTTGAGAGCAATAGCACTGAACAATCTGAAACATCTGACAGTAAAGCTGAAATTTTATTCACTCCTCTAATTTAATTTGGGGAGCAATTCTACTTCATACAGCTTTTACTATTGTTTTGACATATTTGAGTTATACCAGTTTTTTACTGATCTGCTGCCTGTTTTCTTACTCTGTAACAGCTGTGGCTAACAGAATGTGGGTAAAGGATAGGCACAGATACATAAGAAATGTAGTTCTCTTATCTGACTCATAATAACTGTTTGTTTTAGATAGTAAGATAATCCATCCTGAAGTATTACCCCTGAAGTATGAAGCTATTGGAAAAAATGGTTCCTACAACTCTGTACCTAAACGAAACACACAAGGTAACTTAATTTTGTTCATATAGAAATAGTGAGCATCTCTGTAGAGCAGCTTCGTTGCCTCTACTAAGCAGTATTGTGCTGAGAAGCCTGCTACGTACAGTGCCACTGCACAGTAGACAGTGGTGTTCAGATAGTCACTGTTTAACATGGTGACTTTGCAGTAAAACACTTCAGATTATATTATCTTGTATCCCAACAACATTCTTATATTGTTACTTTAAGAAAAAAGTTTGCCTGGGTTTGGTTTTTGCTTTATGGAAGGATACAGATCAAAAGGCATCTTATTACAGGCTAGTTCTTCCAGCATTAATATATTAAACTTTTTATTGTAAACCAGTATAAAAACAGAAAAAATGCACCTTTTGTTTTGGTTTTTGTTTTAAATGCCATTTACAACCGTCAACACTAGGAATTCTGCAAGGTACTATTTTATTTCCAATGCAGAATTGCGTCATGTAATTTTAATGTCTCAACTGGAACATGGAGAGCAAATCATCAGGATAACTGAAATATACAATTACCTGGCTTGAGCTGTTTTGATAATACTGGATTGTAATTAAAGTACCTCTAAGTATAGTTTGGTTAATTTTCAAGTCATAAATTCATTTTTCTGGAAATCATTCTCTTGCAGAGAAGATGATTTGTAATGGAAAAGGTATTTTGAGGTTGAGATCACTATAAATAAGGTTAATAATTTGAAAAATCGTGGTTTTACTGTTGTTGACATGGTAAAGCTACTCCAAAGCTATTTGTGCATCCTTTCAGGTTCTATCTTACTAAATGCACTGATGAAACAGCCCATTGTCCCTGGGTCATTACTAGGACTCTGCCATCTCCTTAGCAGTAACTCTGAGCCTCTACCTGGAGCTGCATTGCAGCTCAACTATTTGGATACGTAAGTTTTACTTATTTTTGTTAAATTGCATGTGACATGTTCTTAGGATAGTGGCATTCTCTATACTGAGAAATGCTTATTCACAAAGGATAGCTCATTCCTTTTGTTACATGCTGTTTTGCTTGGACCATTCAATTTGGAACGTCATGATCATCATATATACTAAACAGAGACAACACTTAAGTGATAAACTGGGTTAATTATGTAATTAATGGATCATTATATACATAATAATTATATACCAGGTGTCAAGGAGTAGGTTGGGTTTGTATTCTTTTCCCCAGTTTACATTTTCTTTTGGAAAGACATCTCTTGTTACTCTCTCGCCTTTCCATTATTTGATTCAGAATATGAGTAACTCAAATTCCAACTATGTTCTCTGCCTTTTCTTCTGAAGTCTTTCCCTTTTTTCAACTTTATTTGGATAGGAAGTCCACACACCTACCCAGCAGCAGGACAACTCAAGAAGAAATTGCTGGTCGTGGATCCTTGCAAGAAGCTCAAAACCTTGCTGTAACAGGATTGAACTTGATTGCTATGGATGGAGGATTATCTGAAGGAGGCCAAACAGAAAGCCAGACAGAGTTGCATGTCACACACTGCAAGATCCGAGGTGCTGTGCACCTCTTGCCCTTGGTAGAACACCATATTGGTGCATACTGTCAAGCAGTACAACTGGCAGACAAGCCAGTAAATGGTTCTTGTGGAAACCATTCAGCTGCTTCTTCCAGAGCCAACACAAATATGGTGTCAAGTAAGGAGGACTTCAGGTTGCCTCTTGAAGAAACTACAGTTATATCACTGGGTATTCTTTATTATTTGGCATTGTATAGCTGGGATGTAGTCCACTTGTTGCTATCTACTGAAGCGGAAGAAAGTGCTGCTGCTGGAGATGAACAGGTTTCCAAGATGGACAAAAAGGTGTTGCATGATAACCAGTGTGATGATAAAGAAGATACCAGGACACAAGGAGGGCTGCCTGTAGCTCCACAGGATGCTCCCAATAATGATCAACCTCAACATTCCTTATTTAAAAAGCTGCTTCAGGTTTTAGCTTTTTCTGCTGCAAAAGGCTCCCAGACTGACAGGATACTGAAGCAAAGCCTAAAGGTTTTGGTGAAATTAGCTGAAAATGCAACAATGGACTTGCTAATAATGTAAGTCAGCAATAGGTTTACAATTATTTCAGACTGCTGTCTAGCAATTTTTATTCCCTGTTGAAAGTAATTTGTACAGATGACAGCAGAAGTTTTGATATGTACAAGAGAATTTTCAGATCACCTTTGAGAAGCAGTTGAGGATCTTTCTACTGCCTTTGCTGCTAATGAATATGATAACATTACCCATGATCTGTAACAAGATTTGCTGATGACATTTATATGAAGCAGATCTGTTGCCTCATTGCATAGCCATCACCTGAAAGTCAGAAAACTTCTTAAGGCCATATGCAGTTGATCAGAGTATCTGTAACATTCATTTTGGGTTTTTCAAGATTGCTGGGAGACGCATAAGGAATGAAAGCACATGGTCTCATTCTGGTAGGTAAAATGCCACTCTCAAAAGTGAGACATTTAATTTGCTAATGATCTGATATACACAACCATAGTATCAATTGCAGAATGACTGCCAAATGTAACTGAACATGGTTTTCAGTATACATTTTATGTATGACACACAAATTGGGATCAGGTATGTTTTGAATGGCTGAAAAGGCACACATTCTGATGATGTGTACAAGAAATAGTGTCTTTTCAACCTGTCAGTGCATTTCCCATTTCCAACTCTTGTTTTCTTTTGAAGTTTTCAGCAGTTACTGAGTAGCCAGATACTGCTCCATTGTCTGTGTCCAGAGACCCCTTTGCCTGCTGTCCTTTTGACCGTGAGACTGTTGTCTATTCTTGCTCAACACCATACACTGATTGTTCAACTTTGTTCTCATTCAGGTAAAAGACTTCATTACACAGATAACTTACCAGGTGAACAGTAGTTAGCATGACTAAAAGCAGTGCAAACAGGCCTCGCTCCAAAGTGTTAAAAGCCATACAGTGCTTTTATACCCATGTCAATTTTTAAAACTACTTTCCAGATTAATATTTAATGTTGATGAGGGGGGAAAAAAAAGGCTTTTGAAGGAGTTTTGAAATTTATCTGCATGCATGATACCACCGAGATTAGGGATTCCAGTAATCTTCATGACAAGTAGTTTTTGTCCAATTCCTTATGAATGAAGGTCTGTATTACCACAAACGCATTTATAGAGTTTAGGGATACTGATTTCTTCAGCACCGCTTAAGATGTCTGAATTTAAGCAAGAAGTTGAGCCTGTATCACAAGTCCCAGCATAGCACTTCATGTATTTTCTGAAATGTTGTCTTGTTTAGGATAAAATTTAGTTTTGTCACACAGTTGACTAGTTACAAAGTTATCTCTGTTTTAGACACCTGCCTTCTTCTTGCCCTGTACATGTATATTACATCAAGACCAGATAAATCAGCATCTGAAATGCTTTGGCTTCAGCTGGAACAAGAGGTAACCAACCTCTGCTGCTTGTTCATATGCTTTTTCCTGCTGTCTCCAGCTGGGGGAGTGGGAGGAGCAGGGCAGTGCACAAATGGTCTGAAAACAAGTTCTTTCTCCAACTAAAATAGAACAGAAAGTACTGGCTTGCAGTAAGGGATTACACTGATTTGCAAGAGTAGCTGCTTGAAACTGAATCAGTAACTGGTCAAGAGAACATCAGTCATAACAGTTAAGTCACTGAAAGAGGAAGAAAGATCCTCAGATGGCTGTAAATATTCAACACTAAGCTTTATTTTGCTTTTAGATCGAGTAAAAGGAAGCAAGATCTATAATTCATTTTGACTTGATTAATTCTAAACTGTATCTTACGAGTTACTACATAGAAAAGGCAGTTTTAGCAATTTAGGATTATATTAATTGTATTCAGTAGAAATACTGGCTTTTTTATATATAGAAAGAATAGCTTTTAAACTTGTACTGTTTGTTCTGGCAGTGGTGACTTCTTTGAGGTTCTACTACTTGTTCTGCTCCTGCTCTCATTTGAAAGAATTTTCAACCATTTTCATTATACCCCTACCTACATTGTTAGATTCAGTGTAAACATTATTTGTATGAAGTAAATTAAGGCCCAGTGCACCTCACTAGCCTTCCTCATCAGGAAATTGAAAGAAGTTTCTGTGCAGAGGAAATTCTATGTTTTTTAAAGTTTTACAGGGAAAAAAATTGAACATTTTTTTGGGGGGGATACAGATCAACTGTTAAGAAAAAACAAGAATGTGTGAAGTTAATAATGAAATGTCATGTCTACGTCCCTTTATTTGCAGTCTTGTTTGCTAATTCTGCAGAACTCCAGTACTCATTATAATGCACTCTGTATGTTTTTGTAATAGACAGTGAGACTCCTGACAAGGTTTATGCGGAGTTCCAGTCCAGCAGTTTTATTACCTGGTACAGAGTGCCAGTGTAATCTTGAGGTATGTCACTACAATGGCTGAGTTTACTGAGAACTTTTAAGGTACTCAATGCTAAAACAGCTTTTTGTCCATTTTTTTTTAGCTAAAATGAAAGAGAAATGTACTGTACTTTAAAGGACGCCACCTTCTAGGACCCTTGCTTTTGCCTGCTAGACAGTATTTTGAAATTTGGAAGTTTAATTAGTAAAGTTCATAATGAATTAAGCTTTCAGCTACTATAACTTTATTGAGGCACTTCTCTTGCAGGTGGTTAAGGCACTAATTATAATGTTACACAGACAGTGGATGAAGATTAGAAGATCTGAGAACAGCTTGTGTACACATAAGGAACAAATTATTCAGTTTTTACGGGATGCTCTTTTACTCTTGCACAGCCTATCTCAGAAAGATAAACTGTTTCATGAACACTGTTTGGAAGTTCTCCATCAATATGACCAAGCCATGCCGGGCATAAGAGCAATTCTCAGAAAGACTCAAAAGTTGAGTGCTTGTGAAGGTAAAACAACCTAAGTGGTAATCTGGCTTTTTTACATGCTTCAGAAATAGAAATTCCGCTTCTGTCCCTTTCCTCATTTAACAAGTACAACCTACCAAATACCATGGATGTTTGTTGCTCAGACCTTTGATTCATAGTCTAGTGCTTCTCAATCTTCATTATACTGAATCACTACTGCACTATTCTTTAATAGTTTTCTCATTCTTCTCTCCATAGAGATATGCCCCTACTATCTGATCCAACAAAATCCCATACTCCAACTCTTTTTAGTAAAGCAATCTGCACTATATATTACCTTACTAAAAAAAAAAAAAGTCATTATTTCAAGTCTCCAAATAGCATTACACCTTCTCCCTGCAACTGTATTGTTTCCCCACCACTCCACTCATCCTTAACATCTTTCTTCCTTTTCTCTCTTCTACCCACAACATTCCTCCACTACTCGGAAATCTTCTCTAGCCCATGTCCTTCAGGACTTGCCCCTTGCTTTGCACTGTTCTGGTGTCCATTTCCTAGACAGAGCTACTCCTGTGAAATTGCCTCTTCTCCCTGTACCTCAGTTCCCTTTCTTTGTTCACTCATGGCATTATTTACATGTATGTTGTAGAGCTGATGAGAAGTTTGTGCTCTTTCATCAGTAGATGGGTTTGCTACAAGATACCAGATAAGGTATCTGGTCTTGTTAAGAGCCAGAGTGATAAGTCCTTCATTGTCAGTGTACGTATTGCATAAGTAAGGCAGGTGATGCAAGCATGCCACTATTAGTTACAGTGATTTCTCTGGAGATGCCAAAGAGTATGCCAAGTATGGGCTCTACTCTGATTGCTTAGAGTATTCCAAGGTTTTCTAGAACTTTGCCAAACACCTTGTCTGGTTATGCTTGGGAAGGATCCAAAATGGCATAACAGCTTGGGAATTTGGGGAGGGTGATGCAGTCATATGCCTGCAACCCTGTAGTCTGCATTTGGGTTCTTCCTTTCAAACATAAAATACCGTGCTTTTGTCCTAGTGACTTAAAAAAAAAAAATCAGTGAACAAAAATTAGTTTTAAACTTAGTTGCAAAATAATAATGTACCATTTACTGATTTTCCACTAATACATAAATTTAATGACTGCCCAAGATAGTTCTCTCCTTTAACACCTGAAAAGGCATTAAAGAGGGGGGAAGTTTGTATGACAAAATGCATATGAAGACCTGTTTTGCATGAAACCTTGATAAAGGTTTGCTGTAGCCTTCTACAGTCAGTATGTTTTAAAATGCAAACAGATACCAGATGTAATTACACTGTATAAAGTAGGTAAATGACTCTGAAACATGATTTGTTTTTCTTGCAGAGCTGATTTTGGATGAATTGTATCCTCCTGAGCCAGAAGCAGAAGAGCAAGGAATGGATTCCAGATAGCTAACATCTAGCAAAGATCTCTGTCCTTCCTCATCTAAATCATAATCATTGCTACTGTAAATCTGAAAATCCAGTCATCTGTTTTATTAAGAGATAATCTAAAGGCTGCACTCAAATGCAGCACAACTAAGGCATTTCTTCGTTGTGATTATTTAAGTGCCATCTAAACCTAGCTGAATGCTCTAAGAATTATACTGCAATGTACTGTTTTGCTGTACAAACCCACTCAGTGGCTTATGACCAGTTCTATTTATGAAAGTATTTTGAACACATTTGTTTATTTGTAGCTGTAGCACTTTCTTGCTTGACTTCCAGGTTTTTCATGTTGATATTAGTAAACAGTTTACTGTGATTTTAAAAACCTTTCTACAAATAACTTCTAGTTGGCAGCTCAGTTCTGAGCAAGAAATTCAAAGCCTTGTAGTGATCATCTGAGTTCATAATTTCTCAATTTCATGGAGCTACTGAAAGAAGAACTATTGGTCAGATGCCCAAACAAAAAATACTAGAATTTGCTGTTTTAAAAACTTACCTGTCCTGGTAGAAGAGAAAGATGGTAATGCTGAGGAAGGCGTTCTGTCTTACTTGGCAAGAGAAGGATGTCCAGAATGATCAGGATTTTTGGTTGTAGTATCTGGATAGGCACCACAGTGAAGATGAAGGAGCATCACGCTGGCTGGGATACAGCACTGAAGATGGGAGGAAGAACTGTTGCTATACCCTTTCAAGGGCCAGAGCTCCTAGGTATAAAACTTCACTCCTTCCTCCCACAACACAGCCTAGGGCTAAACCTCCTTCCCTTTGAGCAACAGCTCGCAGAGCTCCCCCAGGCATATCGTACTTGTTTCTGTACAGCACGAACTGCCAACTACTTCTCAGGAACAGGTTTCAAGCCCCTTGTAGCAGCCTGGAGAACTGCCATTTTCCTGCTTAACTGCAGCAAGGATGGATGTTCAGGCACATAACAGCAAAGCCTTCTAAGTTTGTGTGCTTGCATGGGAATAACCCTAGAAGTGCCACCAGGGCACTGGACAAGACATGCTACAAAAGTTTCAGTGTGACATAAACCCATTTGCCTTGTTCACTTTTTAAAAAAACAAACACACATCATTCCGCCCCCAAAAAACCCAACCAAAACCCACAGCATTTCCTGGACTTCAGGATTAGACAGAAGAGCTTGAGAATGTCAGGTAAAAGCCCCTTCCTTCCTGAAACCCAAAATGAAGGTAATTCTTTAAAAATAGCCCTATGAACACAAGCAGGGGTAAAGCAGATCTGGCAGCCTGCTGTTAGTGGCAAACTTAAAACGTATAGTTACTATATCCCAAAATTCAGTGATTTGCCATCACCTTTCAGCTGTTCTATGCTTTTCTCACCGTCTAATTTCTCTGTACATAATTTGAGTTTATGGTGATAACATGCATTTAAACCTGTTTATTGGGTGAGTGGACCACCACAAAAACCAGCTGAGGAATCCCAAAGTGTTGAAGCAATCCAGTTATAAAAACTTGGTTTCAGAAATTCCCAACCTCATCTAAAGGGCATGTATATTGCAGCTTGGTAAAAGGGAGAAGTGTATTACTGCTAAGCTTCATACAGACAGAAGTGTTACATGTGGGAAAAAATGCTAGGAAAATACCCCTAGCTTTTCCCTTCTGACACTGCATCCCCTCCCATCCACCCACTCTTTAACAGACAACACCCTAACCAGTACATCTACACTTACCTTATTTCCACTTTTGACTTCAAAGTGGTATAGCCTAGGCTATATACAACCACTATACACAACACTATATACAAACACACAAATCCCTACACACTGTCACCAGTAGAAATTATAACAACATCATAGTACAAAATTAAACCATAGCTTTTAAAAATCAAGGCATTTTCTGTAACTGAAAAGTTCATGCTCTTAAGGAAAAACTAGGCTGCACTCCTCAAGAGAATGGGCAGACAGGTATGCATACAGAGCTGCCATAATTCATTATTTGTAAAGCCATTTACAGAGACCAATCTTTTGTCAGGATTATTGCAAGATTATACTGACCTTCAGTAATTCTTCCCTTTTTACATTCTCTTTCAACTTTTTCTTGGCATTAAAGAGACCCGATAGCATATGCAACAGTTGATCATCCCCTGAAAAACCCAAAGCATTTTTACAGATTATGGGACTACTGGTTTGCTATCTTCATGACCTAAAAACAACAGAACTCGGACTGTTCTTATCAGACACTCCTTGAACAATCCACAGCATAGTAGCTCTTTTTTTCAAGGCCAGTAGGCATTTTCCCAACATGTTACAGGTAAGCTGTGCCTCTCTTAACTGAGGAATTTACTCAGGCATCAAGCACAGCTACAGGGCTGAATAATGAAGTATTGAGCAACAACACAAGTCGTGTTCTATGCATGATTATCACATTCCTCAGTCAGTAGCAGCCACCTATTTTCTTGCCCATGGGGATGGCAACTCCAGCTCCTATTCTGCTAAGCACTTTCCTCCTCCAGGAACTGAGGAGACAGGACTAAAGCCAGGCAGAAGCTGGATGAAGAAAGCAGTCACCATTTCTCAGGCAACTTTATGCAAAAAGGAGGACAACAGCCTTCCTGACATGTATTTTAAGACCTACAGACAGTAGCCCTTGACCAGTTGTAGCACAGGAAAAGGTATCTGTGTTGCTAAGCATCTTCCCGTGGTGATCCAAGGACCTGAGGTACTGCATGGATTCAAACACACAGCAGTTTATTTCTACTAAAACTAGATACAGAATACAGTAAATGATGCATCATGGACTAAAATATTTAGGGAATTTGCACCTTATTAAGGCGTTACCTTAATAAGGTAACGCCTTATTTTCTACAACTCATAGAATCATTGAAAAGTAGAGATTGTAAGGGGCCTCTGTAGATCATCTAGTCCACCTCTCAGTCAAAGCAGACTTTCAGAGAAAACTGGTTTGTGTCAGGTCAGGCCTCAAAATACCTTTTTATAAACCAAGGTGTAATAAGACAAATACAAAATACCTCATCATGCAGCATGCAACGTCTGACCAGAATTGGGTTTATTCACATTAATCCCACTTGTGTGAACTACTGCTTAAGAAAGTTTAGCCTGTGCTAGACTATTAAAACAGCAAGTTATTTTAACTACTGAATAATGTGTATATAATATCTTAAAGTGGAAGACTAATGAGTCAGGGGCATGAATGCAATCTTTCATAAGAATTTTTTTCAGAACTATTGAAAATTCAATTAGGCTTCAGTCTCCACTAGCAAAAGTGATATTCATGATATAAGGTTACTGAAAGTATACTTGGTAACACTAGCTGTCAAACACAATGAAGTGTAGCTTTGCAGATACACTCCTAAATAATACTCAAATTGAGGCTAAAAAACCAGAATTGATAGAATATACTTAAAAGACTGCATTTATTACAAAGGCATATAGAGTTTATGCCATTACTTTTGAAAACTTACTTTTAAACTACAAACAAAATACAAAGCTAGGTTACAGTATGTAACAGAATCAACAGTGATTATCTAGTAAATTCAGTACAACGTAATTACTGTATTTAATTTCACAAAGCAGTTCTGAAACAAAGGCACTTAAAGAATTACCCCCCCCAAAGAAAAACAAAAATAAAAAAAAAACCCAAATATACAAAACCCCCACATATACTCTTTCAACATAGAACATCTTAATTCCGTTCCCCCTCCTCTATGGCACTATGGATAACTAGTCTGACATGAAAGCAATAGCTACATGGACTGATACATCAGTAGTGCTTAAACTAAAAGTTTATGGATCAACTTCTCCATCTTTTCTATAACCATCTTATTCTCTTAACTGTATGAAAACAAGTTTAAACAGGATGCATAGCAACAACTACATAAAATTTGGGTTTATCCCTTATTGTTAATGATGATTAATACACTAACAGTAAGGAAAGAACTGACAAAGTGCTCCAATTATGAGTTAAGTGGACTATTTTCTCTTATTTCAACAAATTTTGTAACTGGTAGTTCCTTGTATATTAACAATTCATCTCTTCACCTGCATGTAGTTTTCATTAGCATGTGTTCACTAAAGGTGTAAATTTTTCAGGCTACTTCACCTCATCCCCTCCCACCACTCCACATACAGTGGTGCTCAAGGCGATTGATTTGGTCTGTACAACATGTACACCAAAACTTTAGATTCAGGGACCTCTATTACTGTTGCCACTTTACTTTCCTCCTCTCTCTTTCTTAGGGATGGTGGCAGATGGCTGAGCCAATTTCTCATGACATTGCAGATTTTTTTTTCATAACGAAAAAAAAACCTTATTTACACTGCCACGAACTGCATGCTTTTCACATCATCTGGAGGAAAGGAAGAGCAGTGTGGAGTAACTATCTCATGAAGCCAAACACTAGAACATTGTACCTGTGCTCCAAGAGCTACGTGGCAGCTGTGCTCTCTGGCCAAACTTCATCCAGGCAGCTGGCTAACAAAGGTGCTGGAATGGTCTCTGCCCTCCTTCTATAGGAATAGACACGCAGGGGTATGATCTAGCAAGGGAATTGTTTCTGCAGTTATTCAGTGCCCTCCCACACATAAAAATTCCAGATTTCTAGGGAAACTCTTAATCCCCCATATAGGAGACACTGTGCATTTCTGCTTCTCACATAACTTCAAACAGTGTACTGAAGCATCACCCAGTTTCTCATGAGGGAAGAAAGAGGAGGAACACACTGATAAAGGGCATGCATGCTCTGCAAGTGCCTCCTGGCACCATTTCAAGCTATTAACTTCAACACTCAACAGGGGACACAGGCTTTCAAGAATCCCAATGCTAAAAGCTTTCTACAAGTTTCTTCTGAAATGCCCTGAAGACTTTCTAGAAAAACAGAACTGGAATAACCCAGAAACAGACTTCAAAAATCAGGAAGAGAAATAAAGCTGCCTTTGACTGCAGCAGTTTTCATTCATCGTATGAGGTAAAGCAACACCACCATTGATGATTTTCAAGCAGTAATATACCCCAAATGTAGAACCACAGGACAAATGGCTCAACAGCCTCTAAAAAAATAAAAGTCAGTGTCTGAGATAGATCAAAGTTATTTTACTAATTATGTCATAGGGATACATACAACGGGCCAGACAGCTCTACTGAGGAATAACAACTTGTGTTCCAATGTTAGAAAAGATAAAATTGTAGAGGACACTAAAAAGAAATCATGATTCATTTGATCAATACAAGGTGCATAGAACCAAAAGCCTTGCAACCACTAGTAATAGTCATAAGGATGCCTCAAGACATTTCATAACTGCAAGCATCACCTTCTTGAAAATGTTAACCTCGTTGTGGCAAGGTCCCACCACTCTTCCATTTCCTTGACTTCTTATTTTCTGCTCAGCTTTATGAGAATGGTGAAGTCAAAATGGAGGTTTAATTTCTACTGTGTGCTGGACTGGGATTTCTTACCCTCCTTTCCCATTATTATTCAAATGCAGATCTGTCATTCTGAGGTTCCTGCCATCTGCAGTTCCCACTAGAGACAGTCAGTGACAAGCCCCAAGCATTTAAAAACACCTGTAAAATAAATTCCTCCGTTACGATGAGGCAGTACTAAACACTGGCAGGTACTTCTGTTTAGCATATTATTAAGGAGCTAATTTGTCTTCCAAACTCATCAACAACAGATGACAAGTAACCTTGTCCAATAATACTTTGACATCCAACAAATACTCATCCAATAATTTTAATGAAGAAGTCTCAGGTTGTCAGCTTTTGATCTACTTTTTCTACTAAGTGGCAGGTAGTTTGGTTTTGTTGTTAATTTCTAGCACTAAATTAAAATGGCCTGAGAAAAACGCCCAGTGAAGGCACAGTTTTTAAGCCTTAAAATTCAGAAAGAAAACAAGGAAATCATCAACTCATGCTATTTATCACAGCAAAATGAAACTAGGCCACAGAATTACAGGTGGTTTGCTATGGGTTACAGAAGGAAATTGTGTTTCAAAAGAGGAACACTCCCTTTTGAATGGGAAAAGTATTACATGGTATCTTACCTAACAACAATAGCTTCAAAACAGGCAGGACATATGTAACAGATATCAGGTAGCTTCTCAAGAGATTAAGTTTTTATATTTTAATACCGTGCAAAAGTGCTTCAGCTTTGGGGTTTGATAATGCTCGTATTAGACCACTCCTTTCAAAAGTATTGCACAGCAAATGTTATCATGGTTCTTATTTCTGAAGTTCTCTTCCTTCACGCTTTCCCCATTGTATACAGAACAAAATCTCTTTTTGTGTTTGAGGTATAAAATAACAACTTCTGCAAGAGAAATAATACTGCCTCATACTTGAAGCATTTAAAAAAAAGATACAGAATTAACATTCACTTTACTGAGACAAAGGATTGCTGTCTTCCAGGAAAACATACGACAGTTGCACGGTGTAAACAGCACGAATTATACTTTTAAGAGTTTTGCATGCAGAAGAGAGTAGATGACCTTCTCAATAGGTGAGCTTCTGAGGATCCACATAAGCAGGGTTGTAAGGGGGCTGGCTGATTGGGTAAGGTGCTCCAGCACCAGCTGCAAAAGCACAACACAAGAGAAAACGGATTTGTAAAACTTAACGTTCTGAATTCTACATCTATAATGGCAACTTCTGTTTTAAGCACACGGTTAAGAGGATCAACTTATCTAGCATCTTAACTAGACTTGAGAACAGTTTGTGCTAACTCATAAAGCATCCAATTTTCAAAAGTAAGGTCACAAAAACCTTTACTCCTGTGGTCTGGTTTAGGTTTTGTTTGTATGCCTAAGTGGAAATGTGTATTATGGCATCCACTAGTACATGGTTAGCCTTCAGGGGAGAACATAGTCTGAAAAACAAAGAAACAGATTTGGTCCAAAAAAGGAAGCCAGTGCAAATCAGAGATGCACAAACAACAGGACATACCCAATAGAAGCGAAAATAAACCACTGGGCAAAAGAAAAATGACCAGAGGAAGCATCTTAGGATTCTTTCAGGGAAAATGCTTTCCCACTAAGTGTCACAGAGTTAATTAAAAAAAAAAAAAAGGGGGGGTGGGGTGGTGAAGTATACCATTGCTACCAAGCGCATTAAAGAGTTTGACTTGACTTACATACTAGCATGTATATAACTCAGAAGCTGTCTCTATTTTACAGTATTCTGGGACAAGCAGCTCTCAAGTGGCATCTTCATTTTCAGGTCTCTCAAACAGCACATTAGTTCAAGTAACACACCACCTGATCAGATCCCTGGAACACGTAAGCGTGGGTATCTTTTGCTGATCTTGTAAAGTGAGTGAGGTTGCTCCTGTGTGACAGAGCGGGTATTTTCTCCTTTGCATATGACCTAATTAAGAGGCTGCCCCTTGGTTAACAGACAAGAGAAATAAAGGAAAGAGCTCTCACTTTGAGGCGTTCTCACCCGGCAACATGGAAAGCACTTCAAGATTTTCCCAGAAAATAAGTATTTTAATAACTAACAAACCAGTAACAGTTTGAGAAACCAGAGCAGGAGAAGCAAAATGACTAGTTTATTGGCTCACTTTGTCACATGATAAAAACAAAGCCATAGCACTTTGGGTAATTCCATAAATCCCACAGCTTCTTCAGTTTACAAGAGAAAGTCAACAGGCCTGCCAAGTAAGTGTTTTTACATGTGAGGATGGTTTGCACACTGTTAATGTGCAATTTCTAATTGGTATACAAATGCTTAAGACCACAGACAAGCTATTTTATATTTGAGCTGTCACAGAAGAGTTACTTTCTAAGCATTATCTTCGGATTCCTTCAGGAATTCAGGACAATACTTTGCTTGTTACTTAGAAGGATAAACAGCATGGTTTGTAAGAGGGCTTAACGATTCCAGGAGAGGTAACAGTCTAGTTTTGACCACTCTGAAGAGCCAGGACCAATTGTTCAGGGAACAGGTATTACCAGCAGAAGTGGGAATTAGTATTAGCAACAATAAAGCTGCATGAAAATGAAGTTGTCAAAGAGAAAAAGCAGAAAACAAAAAAAAAAAAAAATCTGATAATTTAGCTTGTAGTTATTCACAAACTTGTCTAAAGCTGTATTCTATGAAAATAGTGAAGAACTACTAGAAAATGCCATCTGTGTAGAGACTGAAACAGCTAGCAAATATTAATTAGAGAGCGTATGTAGAAACAGACAATTACTACACATAGGTTAATTGGCCTTTTAATATGAAATTTTAACAGTATTAGTAAATTACATTATTTAAATATTGTACTGGATCCTCCAACAGTCCCACATAGCACCAAACTTTGCAAATGCAGCTCCAGCTACATCTCCTCTTGCAATGCTTAACATAGAAATAGTGATGGGGAAATTGCAAGGGTGAATTACAGCACCCACCATAACTTAAGTTTTACATAATTTGTTTACGTTTACATTCATATAGTCACAGAAAATAATAAATGTAAATAATACAAGATTTGCTCCAAAGCAGCTGCCTCTTCAGCTATTTAAGAGATGAAGCACTCAGCATTGTCTTACCTGCCACTGTTTCACAATAAGCCGGGGGTCCTGACGGCTGCACGGGGTAAGGGGGAGGATACTGTGCAGGGTATGGTGCTACTGGCATTCCGGGTTGTGGTGGGATAGCCACAGGCTGATATCCTTGATAGGGGGCTACTTGGTAATTGGGTGATGCTCCCTGTTGTTGGGGATAGGGAGGATGAACCACTGTAGTGGAAGTAGTGGTCACAACAGCTACAAGCAAGCAAAAGGAACATGGTTACGTGTCGGTGGTTCTAGAAGATCATCAGGGACAGCCAGTAACAGCAATGTAAAAAAAACACTCTCTCAAGCTCAGTTTCTCATTTCAAAATCTGGGCAATTTTATTTTGAGTTCCACAAAAGACTTAAAAATGTATGCCTCTAAACAATGCTTCCATTGATCTTGGTGGCAATGAGAGCCTTCAGGTACTGGGAGAGCAGCCAACTTACCTCCTTGTTCCTCAACCACAAAGAGCAAAGAATTTTTGCCTTGGACTCTTTAAAATCAGGAACACAAACCTGCAGCCAAGGTATCTATCATTTGGTATAAGACTGGAAAACCTACTGATTTCTAAATGTTACCTGCTTTTAAGGGTTAAGATGATAAATATCTCCTTTATTAGGTAAGGAGCTTCCAACCACAATTGCCCAAATGAGTTTCCTTTTCATGTTGCCTATACGCTAACAAATCCCTATCCCCTGCTTACTCAAACAACAAAAAAACAAACCCAAACCCCCATGTTGAGGGATGGAGAAGAGAGAACTTCTGAATGCTTAGAAAATATTCCAAAACACCTCTCTGCAACTTCTCATTCTGAAGCACCTTAAATACTTATTATTTGTGTTTAGGTATTGCAACTCCTGCAGCAGAGAAGTAAGGCAAAATTATTTTCACCTTAAAAGGAACACATGGTGGGGGGATGGGGAGGCTTGTTCAAAGATGTAAAAAAGAAAATAAATATCCAGTACTTACGCCTTGGTCTTCGACAGGCTTTATACAAACAGCAACATGAACAGGTGAGGCACAGAATAATAGTAATTATAATCACCGCACAAACAGCAACTCCAATAGCAGCAAGGGTTCCAAAACTGAAAAAAAAGATACCATCAGAAGTAGTAAGATTCTTCTACACAAATTCATCCCTCTACATCCTGACCTTCTGTAGCAAACACACTGCTGCTCCTCCAATCTGTTACTACTTCACACATTTGAAGAAATAACTGTCAAATGCAGTGCTAACATGAGGTCAGGCGTGCTAAACCAGCGGAAGCAGAGCAACCCCTATCAAGGCGTATGCTCCCCTGTGCATGAAATGAACCCAGCATGAGTCTTTGGTCCCTCTCATTTTAGAGACTCTGTGATTCTTGGTATTTTAGTACAACTCTGTACCCCTTTATGTACTTCAAAAGGTAACAGCAACAAATTTCAAAATCACTTCTTTGATGACTTAATTTTCCAAGCATTGCTTGACTGCTCTGAACACACAGGTAGGCATGAATGAGATGAAGCACCCCAGACTCTGGGGTCACAGCAAGCTCTTCACGCGTTGATAAGACCTCCCACACCCAATCTCGAGACAATTTTGGTACTGAGCAGACCTATCCATGCTGCAGATTCTTGGCAGGTTCCTTGGCATTTGTACGCAGTTGCTTTAGAAGCCACATTTCATATGCTTTGGAAGATCTGAAATTCTGCTAACTTTACTGCAACAGCAAGTATGCTATGCTGCATTTGAGAGACAGAAACACTCCCTAAACCACCAAAACCTGGTATGAAAGGCCAAAAATTACACCAGCTTTAACCACTGCGATGAGTGTCAAATGATGGAGATGACTGTTCATAAGTTTTGTTTACCGCACAGGGAAGAGAAAGTATCACTGTAAATCATTAAATGCCCGCTGACAATTCCCTTTCAAGTGTTAATTCACATCCTCTGTTTCCTACTGTCTAAAATCAATAAAGCTCTTCCACAGCAGGCAAGGTCTTCAGCATTTTCATTTCTTAATTTAAAAAACAAACAAATATATATATATATATATATATAAAAAAAGCACCATACATCAATTTTGGGAACAATTGCAGGAAGTCAGTTTTAATGAACAACAAGCTCTAAAATGAGTAGAGAGCTGGTTTTATACCCATCCTGTTTTTCCTTCTGCATAGAGATTTTGGCCACTCTCTAGGTTTTGCTGTTTTTTTTTACTGCTCAGTTTCCTGCTAGCAGCTCTGAACAAAACGACATCTCCAGAACCTCCAACAATTTCTGCTTGGCTACCAACCAGCCACCAAATGTGAAAATTGATTTTGAGTGTAAATGACACTGGAAAGGTAAATCACTGACAAGAAATAAAAAAGAATCGTTCTATCCCTAGCCCAAATTGGGAAAATGTCTCCTCAGCAACCTACAGCAACTTAACCCTCAGTAAGATGGACACTAAAAAACAGCTTCTTAAAATGCCTTTTTTTTTTTCCTTTAAGAGAGGCTCCATCAATTTTACTCTGTTTCTGCAACAGCTGGAAGAAAAAGCTGCTTTAAGAATCTGATCAACAACTTTATCTAATGGTAACTGTATTTTGTGCACTGATTTTGTTAAGTACTAAATATAATCCTATGGATCTACTTCTCAAGTACTAAATCCAACACTGTGGATTGCCTACAGTCACTGCATCTCAGTATTTACATGTAAAACAGGAAACAGGAACTGCTGCAGCCTCCTGAAATCAGAGAAGCCACATAAGAAACACTGCCAGGAAAGCAAAGATGATTGCAACACAGCTGCAGATGTAAAGATGCACACATGCTTTGTCACATTCATCTGCACCTTTACAGAAGGTTTTTTGTATGCTGACTTGCACACACAAACGCATTCCTAACTATGATGCTTCACATGCTCCCCCATCCTCACAGGCATTAGTTTCACTTTAGCACAGGAAGCTCACAGCTGGCTCATCTTCACCCCAAAAATCTCATTTCTCCAAGCCTGGTAGAAAAAGGAAGATACAAAATGCAATTGGTGGTGTAAACATGCACAATGATACCACATCCGGAAATACAGGCTGCCTCCTGTCCACAAGGCCAACAGCAGCCACACATCAAGTTAGCCTGGAAACACAAGCTGTGTATTTGTGCATCCGGAAATGGATTAGATGTAAGAGACCTGTGGAATTTAGATTAATTCTATAGGGTCCTCACTAGATATTCATTACATAAATTCATATATACAAGAAGAAAAAGAAGTGTGCACAATGATTCACACAGTAGGCTTAACTTGCCTGCAACGTTCAAACGGCAAGAATGTCTGTGACAAACCACAGATGCCTCTAGAAAATGCATGACAACAAATGTTACCTACAATTACTGCTACTTGTGGACTGCCAACAGCATTTTCCATGCTCTTGTTCCCACTTCCCTATCAACCCTGAGAAAGCTCTCTCACTAGGGAAGCTAACATTTCCATTATACACAATTATTACCAAGCAACATTAGCAGAGACAACAAAGGAAAAGTGTCTTCCAGGTTCTTGCTCTGGCATTTGCCCCAGTAAAGCAAGTAAAAACAAACTCACAACAAACCCACCAAACCTTTTTCCTAGTGAACTAGCTATGTGTCAAGGAAGGAGATTAGGCCTGAAAAAGAGAACTAAATTTTTTCACTTCTACAGACAATGAACCTCTGAACTTCAGCAAAAGCTGGGCAAAATCAAAGAAACCTAAGAAACTGAGAAAATGGACACTGTGGAGAAACATATACACATCACAACATAGCGCAGCAGGAAACTGGCAGAGCACCCTTATCTTTCAGAACCAAATTTGGTTCTGATACAAGGGAGAAAACAGCACAAGCATATCTGCAGCCAAGCCGGCCACCAACAGATAAACACTGGTCAGTTTGAAGCATGGGCTCCAATAGCTTATTTTTAATAAAGTTTATTGCTCACTGAAGCACATATTTCGCTGCATATTTAATACCTCTAATAAGGAAAGTGACAAAAGCAAAACTCAGAGGAAACAAAAAAAAACCAACCATCCTCATATTCACCATGTTATTGGAGACACCCTGTGCATTTTCATCATTTTTCTTCATCTTTGCTTAAAATGACACAACCATGGCATGATGACATTTTGCATTCATCTTTTAAAGAGCTAAATAGAGAGACATATTTAAAGTACAAGTGTGTCAGCTGTATACACTTTACAGTGCAGTTCTGTGTGTAAACAACACTGTGATTCCATTCTACCCATGAAAATACTGTGTAATTGCCACACACCAAAATTATAAGCCTTCAGAAACAGCCCAGTGAGCAAAATAACAGACAGGAGTTAGTTCTTCCCAGTTTTCTAAGAACTGTACACAACTGTAGGCATTTTTATCACCTGCTTTACAGCAGAAGCATAATTTTCCTGCCAGTGCTTGGACTCATGCAGACTGATGTCTTGAAGCAGCAGAAGATAGTGTGACTTTTACAGACAACAAACCAGTAAGTGTTGCGAACTTGCAACTTGTGGCATCAACACCTTCTTTCAACATTAGAGCTCTTCAAATGCTTGTGGGTTTTTTTTTTATCCATTCCCATTGATGATCAAAACTAGCAATACTCTTGGAATATCTGAACAGTCAGGCACTACCTTATACTACCCTAGCAGTACTGCCCTGAGCACTTCTTCCTGAAGATTCAGTAACAGAAGTCCCAAAAGTGCAGGAAGCTAACCACAAGTAGATTACCCAAGTGAGGCCAGAATGGTGTTCAGCATACTTTACTCAGTAAACCATCTAAGCTTCAGGAGACAAGATATTCCAGATACTTCATAAAGACTCTCTTGCAGCATGTTAACTCCAAAAAGCCTGTACTCCTTGCTTAAACAAAACCATTGCTTCATTAATTGCGTTCGCGTGATGAATCTGTCTAAAATGACTTTGAAAATATTTGAAAAAATATATTCACATTAAGTAATTTAATTACTTCTGTTAGCATTATACATAAATGAAAAAGATCAGACATAAGGGATTGTAGCTTAAAGATTCTTCCCCTAAATGGTTAACCAAGAAAGAGAAATCAAACAAAAACCCAAATCAAAAAACACACCTTCCCCACTGCATTCTGCAAACAAACATCAAGGTGTAGAAATCAGAGGGGCCATGGCACCAGATCATAATGCTCTGCTGCTTTCACAGTCTGAACACGGGCTTCCAGACTCCCACATCATATGTACCCGAGTCTCTAAATAAAGCACACCCTGTTATAAACAGCTTGAGTTTATTCCCTGCCATTTCCTGCTTCTTCCTTCACATGAAAGCTAACTTTTGCCAATAATTTAAAAGAAAACAAAATCAAACCTAATAGCAGTTCTACTGCAGCAATTATAAACTGCAACTTCTCATAATATCTACAGGAAAGTAAATGTGAAGAGACAACTCCCTGCCCTTTCCTACCACCCTCTCTTTCCTTGCTCTATTCTACCCCTATTCTCTCACTTTTGGAAAACACTAAATTGTATGTGTAAGGAGCATACCTCAAAGACTCACCTTACCTTTAAAGTTGCCTAATTATTCAAAATATGTATCAGTTCTCATAAAGGCAGGTATGTGATCAGTGCCTGTTTTACTCCTGTTGGTACTAAATGAGATACAATGGGCATATTAAAATGTGAGTATCAAACACAAGCTCTAAATAGTACTATTTGTAGAAGATAATTCTCAGGGCTGTTGTTCAGATCAGAGATCTCAATCTTAAGCACTGTCAAGTGTGTGTGTGGGGGAAATAAAATGCTTTGAGTGTATTCAAGACCTTTTAGAACATCCAAGTTTCAGTTCCAGCAACATATTATTAAACCTCCTGAATAGTCTGAATCACTTAAACTGGCCACATTCTGTAAGCCCTGCTGTAAAGAAAGCGTTTGTGTGCATTCATGACAATGGTGGACACTGCAAATTCCATCTTTAAAAAAAAAAAATCCAAGTAAACAACAATAAGACCACCTAGTTCTGAAAAAAATAGTTTTAAGCAGAAACTATTGTGAAAACTTGTGAAACTATAGAGAAACTTGTGAAACGCTTTATTTCAGAAGTTTTAATCTATTCCAAGATTTG